GATTATTCACACATTCGCATATTCCTGTCGATGCGTGGAGGCCCCGCGCAGGGCAGAGCGCCCTGTAACCATGGAGCACATCCAGGCGTAGCCACGAGGCATCGAGAGACGGAAACCTCGGGTCTAGCCAACCTGGGTGACAAACGCGCCGGGACATCCCCGGGTTGAGCCCAGTGTCTCCCTGCAGGAGCACTGCCCGAGGGAGCACGGGCAGGAGCCGCGCAGGAGGACCGAGGTATCTCGATGCACCACAGCGTTACTTCCCAGGAGGCCCGTGTTCCAGAACCTTCATAAACGAATACTGGAAAGCAACACGTGGCCTCAGCAGTAATAGGAATTAACAGAAATTATTCTAAACTGTTTATATGTGAGCAAGTAAAACAAGGCTTTTGTATCATGCGCAATGCTGAAATATCTTCCAGTTATTTCAACTTTGTAACTGATCAAAATTGGATCCAGTATTATCTTAACAGTTAGTTTTGACATTTTCAAAACATGAAGTATCTCCTTTTTTTAAAAGAAAAGGTTATTAACCAGGCAGTATTCCTGTACAAACCTGCCAAGTTGTTTGAAATATTAGAGAGCTAAATTCTATTTGTCTTGTTTCCATATGCAGTATCTGAAGTCAAAATCACTCCGTTCTTACTCATGCCTGCTCAGGAAGAGCTCTCACAGAACCCAAAACTTGGAGTTTTGCCTGCTGAAGTAGCAGGGAAAATATGCAGAAATTGGTCACTGTTTTTATACACCAAGATGGGTTGTGTGGTAATTATTTCAGAAAATATAAATGGTCTACAGCCACTCCTTAGCTGAAAAGTCTGAGATACAAAAAGCCTGGAAAATCACAGCACATTAATACACATTGAAACAGTGAGCTGAAGATCTGTAAATAGACTGTTCTTTAAATATGTACATAAGTGTTTTTTTAAATAATTCATATATGTATTCAGCAAACCGTCAGAAGCTATGCAATACAAAATTGAAGCTGACAATGCTCTGAAAGCATTCTCTTAAGTATTTAGGTTGCCTACAGGGTATGTAAAACATAGAAAAGCAGTCCTGATTTTCAGTTCTTAGCTTGTAGTAGTTGGTAGGATGGGGTTAACTGCATTTTATATGAAACAAAATAGAAGCAATTATGACCTAGGCTCTTTACCAATGTTTTGGTGACAGAACAGTAGTAAACAAGGGCCACATTCAGTTTTATTTTCTTAAAAAGATGATGAATTGACCTTTACACAAAGAAGAAATAAAAAAGATCCCCCATCAACACATTCTCATTTTTATTTCTTTCCATTATCACTTTTTTCCCCTTCTGTTTTGATTAAGATCTTTCAGCTGCCATTTCTCTTAAGAACAACTTCAACCTTGACTTCCTTTTTTTTTCCTTCTTATACCTGCACAATCCTTTCATTCCTTCTTATTTTCCCTTTTCTCTATTCTCCTTTGAGAGAAAAATATGTTTTTTTTTTTCTCTCAGACATTTATTCGTTCATGCCCACAACTTCAGGCTTTCTTTTCCTTCTTTGGTCTTTCCCCTCACTCTCTCTTTTTGATGCTTTCCTTCTCTTTTTTTTTTTTCAGACATTTGCTCATAGTAAATGAAGGATAATGCTAATGCCCTTTCTACATATTATTTCTGCCGTTCTTCAGAATGATTAATTTAGGGCTGCACTCATTTCATAGAAAGCTTGGTATTCTGCTTCATACTTGTTTAAGTCAAGGGAAAAAGAACACAACAAAAAGGATTTAATATTGTAAAGTTATAGTAATAATAGATAGTTTTGTAGAGTAGCAACAGAAGAAAATGCTTAGAAGGGCTAATACCTTGGGCCTGAAGAGCTGAGGCATAACTGACCACCCACTAAACCTTTACTGCATGAGCAGACACTGTAGCCAGAAAAACACCCAAGCCAAGGATATGCTGCCAGCTTCAAAATTCACATTCCTGCAGGAGTAAATCTCTCTTAGCCTGTGATACAGTCCTGCTACCAGAAATACCCAGCTGCATCCTCCAGATAGGTCAGAGGGTTTTTTTTTCCTCACAGCATCACCTATCTCTTCTTGACTTAAATCACATTCCTTACCTTAATCTCAGCTTTTCATCATTCTTAGGACAAAGACTGGCCTTCCAGTTCCCCAGTTATCCACCTCGTGTCATTTTTTTTCTGTCTGATTTCTTCAAGGAGGAAGGAATCCTGCAAGCAATATAGGCAATTGGGAAAGGTGAGATTGTCCCCCAGGTTCCTGCTCCTTGCAGGGCCCAGGTCATGACGTGCCTCCCCGGGAAGCTCAGCGGCTGAAGGCAGCACCTGGATGCCCCGCTGGGTCTCCTCCGCCTCAGACTGCTGAGGAGAACCTCGAAGCACCTTCACTCTTTCACTCCAAGCTGCATTTAGGCTGGAGATCTCGCCCTTGGTGTTTGCCTTGGTGACATTTCAGCCATGCTGCTCCTGGCCACTGCCCGGGTGATCTAGACCCGGACCATGGACTCACTGACTTGACATCCTGGCTTGACCTCGGACCTGCCTCATCACTATAGATTTTTTTTTGCCATCATGACTTCTGGCAGGATGTATTGACTCTGGTGATGCTGTGGTGGTGCTGGACTCCAGACCTGCCTGCCCAGGTCCTGCTCATCTGCACTCCAACCTTCCCACTTGTCCCGTCACCCCAGACCCATGGGGACTTGTGGTCACCCCTGTGGCCACCCCACCCAGCTCAACCTGGCCCTGATCACTTCGCCCAGGTCAAGCAGGATGAGCCATGGCTGGTGGGCCTGTTCTGCTCACCCGGCTCTGCTCCCTGCTCTTGGGGAACAGCTCTTGCGGGTACAGCCCCTCTGCCAGGGATGTCCTCAGTGTGGAAGCTTCCAACACTGCTCTAGAAAAGGGCTGGGATATTTCACTGCTAGATTATTCTGTTTTCTCCCAATTCAGGGTGACATAACCTGTGAAGTGTGATATCAATAATAATAATAAAAATCCCTGTAACTGATAAGCTGAAAACTAATACCTTGCATTGAGTAGTAGTCTTCCAGGAAAGTAAGTATCTGTCTCATAGAAATGGTTGTAATAATGGCATCTTTGTAAAAAGAATGAACGGAATCGTGTATCACCGAAATATTTTCTATTACGTGAGACTTCCTTGCTATTTCTATTGTCTTATGGTATAAGACTTCCTTGATATTGCTATTTCATGTTTTAATCTGCTACATTTTTGTATCTTGACAGATATTGGTTTAATATTCCCTTCAAGTAACATCAATAAAATGGTATTACAACTTTTACTGACATAAGCTGAAGGATATTACAAGTCTCCTGGGAACTGTAATATTCTTTCAATGATGGCACTGATAGCAGTATCACTTTATGGCTCTAAGACAGTTATTAGCTTATCCTTTACCTTAGGAGAAATAATCTGGTATCAATATAATATATACATAGAATCGGTAGGCCAATAAATGCTCTCGGAAACAAATAAAGAAAGGCTGCAGTGCTTTGTAAAGAGCACAGAGCCTCAAAGATGAATCAATCATTTTTCTGTTGAATATTGTGCTTTATCTTCTAGTTAATGATTTAACTTTCATATTGAATGACATCAGTGAAAACACATTAAAGCTCACTGATGTCAAAGAACTGGTACAAGCTTAATTGGTTCATATACTCCTGTAGTCTTCAGAATATTAAGTTGGTAAGGCAAGTGTGTTTGGCTTACGGTTTTTTCCTGCCTCATCACTCATTTCTCTTTAGGCAAAAAAAATATATTTTGCATAAAACTTTCATACATTGTACATAATTTCAACTGTTCATACTTTATTTTGTCTGATTATTCTGCAGTCAAGATAATTACCTTCCAGCAAAGAGCTTCTATGGGACACAGAATATTAGCACAATTAAAAAAAGAGTCAGAAGACCAATGATGGTTTGAAGGAAGCAGAAGCAATGTGAATGTGTTATTTAGAAGTACTGTTTTCCCTTTTTAATAAACCTATTTTAAGTAGACTTTTTATTTAGTTAACAAAATATTCTATACGTTTTGTGTTCATTCTAGGAATATATATTTTTATAACCCCCAAAGACTGACAACAATCTTGTAACAGCAATAGTTGACACTGGTAGAGGGAAATTTGTGAGATCTACATCTCACTTAAAGCTGTATAAGTGATTTGGGGCAAATTCAAAAGCATCAAAAGAAGGCTATCCCAAAGCCATTCCATAGTGCGGGATTTTGTGGCCTTCCCCTGGATCGATTACAGGTGATTACCTGCATTTCTTGATACATCTGTTACGTATTTCCTCATATATCTGTTAGATGTGTATATATTTGCTCATATATCCATTAAAAGTGAATGTATTTCCTCATATATCTGTTAGAAGTACATATATTTCCTCATATATCTTAGATATGCATGTATTTCCTTATATATTTTAGATATGTATGCATTTCCTCATGTTAGATGTACGCATATTTCCTCACATATTTCCTCATATATCTATTAGATGCACACATCTTTCCTCATATACCCGTTAGACGTGTATGTATTCCCTCACATATCCGTTAGATGTGTATTTATTTCCTCACAGAATCGATACTTGTCAGGCCTTACACAGAGCCTGGGATACCCTCACACGCGGTTCTGGACCGTAGTTCAGAACGTGACGCGTGACCCGCGAAAAGGGGACACACTTGTATTACACGAGCGGCCCGGCCGCAGCCCCCCGCTCGGCCCCGTTCCCCGGCGCCCGCCCCCGTCGCG